TTTTTACAGCACTGTACATAGTGACATGGTTAGTCAGGTTGAAAAAAAGGTTCATCTAGTTTAACCAATAGAAAAAAAAAATACAATAAATAAATAGAAAATAATGCTGTGTCCTTTTCCCGCCACTCTGCTCAGTCACATGGAACAGGGAAAAAAAAACCCATGGAAGCTAGGAGCCTTTGGAGCTGTCACTTACACAGGGCTGTGAACTTCTATTGTGATAACAATGATTAACTACTTCGGCTGTCAGTTCTGTTTGGTGTATATACTGCTGGGAGTGGGGAGATTAAAGCAAACTTGTTATGTCTGAATGTGCAAAGCACAGGTTTCCTTTAAGAAGTACTGGTTTTCACATATGTGCCTTTACAGAGGCCTAGATTGTATATTAAATGAAAAAAAAATGTGGTACGCTATTTCATCATAAATAGAACCATAAGCTTTTCAGAAAAATAAAGTGACAGTCCAAGAAATATTTTTTTCAGATAATAAATGTCCAATCCAATGTAACGTCCAATCCAGAGTATGACTCCAAATTATGATGACCATACATGCATTACTCCACCGTTCCGACTATTGCGGTGTTTCCCATCATCAGTTAGGTGCACCTTGCACTCACCTTCTTCCTTGACTTAACAAATAGGTCATACACTCTTAGTAGGGATTGGCAGTGGATATGCAGAATTTGGTTTCATCCCTAAGCGTGTATGACCTATTGTCAGGAATGGACTCACCATTAGTGGTGGGACTCATCTGCCGTGTGGGCTGCAGTGCCAGGGGTGGCCAGCGGGTGCAACCAGAAGCTCACTACTGCAATCAGCCATCACTTGAGGCTGATTGCAGGAGGTGTATTTAAGGAATGGGCAGACCTGCAGTCAGTGCCTTGGTGTATGTTTCCCATGAGCCCCTGTACCTGCATCCTGTCTGCTTCCTGCCTGATCCTGACTCTGCTTTGATCCTGACTCTGAACGAACTCCGCCTGTCCTGACCTCAGCTATTCCTGACCACTCTTCCGCTCGCTCCTGGTACCCTGTTTGCCTGTTTGCTACCGACCTGGCCTGCCCGACTTGTTTGATTTGTATATATGGTTATCTGTTGGAGTTTAGGTTGTTTGCACTGTGTTACGTTTACCTTGCACTGCGTTTGTGTTGTTTAGTCTTAATAAATTTTCCTATTTACACTATACCTGAAGCCTGCGTTTCCCTGTGTCAGTCCACACACCTCTGCTCATACCCAGAGCCCTGACATTACACCAAGGCCATTCCTGACCAGAAGTGGATGCACAGGGAAGCCATCTTGGCTTGTTGTTGTGAAGGATGCATCCGGAGGAGGTTATATACTTGTGTCTGCTAGTCTTTGATGACAGAGAATATGCCTATCAGACTCTGCAGGAGTATACCAGGGATCAGCTGCTAGAATGCATACGGGTCGCTCATTCCCTAGTAGATCAGGGCACAGAGTTCTCTGAGGTGCAACCACTGATTCAGGTTTCGTGTTGAGTTGGCTTCATCTAGTACCCCTGAAAGCAGGGATTGACTTTCTTCCACCATTCAGTGTGGATCAAATAGAATCACGGGTGTGGTTGTTGGAGGATGATCCGGATTTCTTCTGGGAACTTTATTCAGCATTTTCACCACATGTGCTAGTGGAGTGTATAAACGCAATGCAGTCTTTGGTCAGACAGGCTATGTATAAGCTGAGTTTTGTTCAACCAATACTACAGTCCTGGTCAGACTTGTTACACCCAGCCTCAGTCAGCTTGCAACAAACCCGTCCTGCTTCTAATCATTCCTCTGCTCAAAGCTCTATTCCTGCATTCCCGACAGCACCCCCAGGTACAGCCCAATATACCCTGCTATCTACCACATGTCAGTACCCTGTTCCCACTCGCTGCACCTATCCTGCCTTTAACCCTGTAAAAAAGGCTGCTGTAACAACTAGTATTGCATTTGTATACTGACAAGTTGTTGTGATATGCATACTGCCCTGTTTTAACAATAAATACCATTTGGGAACATACTACACTATCTCTGGCACCTGTTTTTGGGGCTCTTATGTGGAGCTATTACCCCCACAGAGAAGGTGCCTTTACCATCCAGAGGAGGGAGTACTACCATTATAGTGGATTACCTGACTGACCTTAAGGGGATCTCTGGACTTGAGCTCGAGCTCTCATCAAACCTGATGACCCACCTTGAGATGGATGCCCACCATTTGGCCTTTGGCAGATCCAACATCTAGGATGATTATTCCTACATGCGCATAATCTATGCGTTTCTGGTGAGTGCGCATTGCTACTATTTGAGGCATTAAGGCTCTGGAATGCCTTGAATGGTTTGTGGGTAAACACACGTGTGCCCCTATTTAGATAGGATGTTAAGGAGGTCACAAGGGAATAACGTACTCTCATTCCCTAGAAAAAGAAGTCGACATTATACCAGTGACTCTCCCACTTCTAAGATTAGAAAATGTTCCATTCTTCCCTCTCAACTGCCAGTTCCAGGTGTTCCACAGTGTCAGGTTCCACAGTGTTGTTTCCAGGGGCTACAACTTGAGTTTTGGCCTCCTCCCTGCTTCATGCTTTTAAACTTTCCTCTCCCCCCTTAAAGATGGGTAGCTGTTCTTGGTGCCACCATTCAGCTGTTTCTATCGCAAGGGGTCATCACTTCTGTATTCAAAAAAGTAATGCTTTGAAGTCTTCTACTCAAATGTCTTTACAGTTTCCAAACCAAATGCAGTCCAGCCCATCCCATTCTGGATCTAAAGACTCTCAACTTGTTCCTATGGCTTTAGATGGAAACTTCCAGATAGATTATTGCCTCTCTTTTGTTGCAACACAACATTCTGACAATGTGGACAAACAGACGTTGTCCTTGGACTGCCCCATGCATCTGTCCAACAAGGTCAGACTCTACCTGAAGTGGCGCATATCCAATCTGGCACTGGAATCAGGGGAACCCATTCCCCCAAAGATACATAAAATTCTCATGAATGAATCCAGGTAGGTGGTCTTTGGAGCAGTGCTGTTAGTGCAGGGGACTTGGTCATCAGAGGAAGCCTGTCATCCTGAATTTTTGGGCGTTTGGCATGTTATATCAATGATGAGCCCCTCATTTACAAGGATACCAAGCAAGAATCTAATTGGACAATGCCTGTAGGCTGTGACCTGCATCAACAAAGAAGAGAGATCCAAAGCCAGAATGCACACTAGGAAAGGAGACATCCGAAGCCAGAATGCACTATAGGAAGCAAACTCTTTTTTGTAGAACTGGGCATTCCTGGCCCTGTGTGTCATCCCAGGCATGGAAATTGGCAGGTGGACTTCTCAGGCCTAGGTATAGGCTGTCCAATCAGAGGTGTACTTTGTGGAATGCATTTTGTCTGGTCTGGTATAGATCTGCTCTAGATCCGCATCAGGCATTGAGTTTTTTCGGTGGGCAAATCTCCTTCTTTGCCATTCTGTTTCAGAGATCTTTGACCTCTCATTCTTTAGTTAAAGCCTTCATGCATGTCACACACATCGTTGTCCCTGTACATTCTTCTGTGTCTCTGTAGGACCTTAAACTGGTTCTTTCAGTTCTTTTAAAGTCGCCCTTTGAATCTGTTAGAAATATTCTCTTAAATAACTTTACTTGCAAGGTGACCTTTTTTGTTGCTATCACCTCTACTCAGAGTGTCTCTAAGTTGGTGACTTTATTTTGTTAGAGTATGTAGAGTATATGTCTCATCCACTGCATCTTTTACACAATCAGATTCCCTCTTTGTCCTTTCTGAGGAACTCCCTGCTTCTTGCTTTACAGTTGCTAGGTGGATTAGACAAATCATTGTTCAAGTCTATAGTCTGAAGGATAGGATTCTTTTCTTCCCTGCCACAGCACTCTTTACCAGATCTGTTAGTGCTTCATAGGCTTTTCGGCCTCAGTCATCTTTCTAAGATTTGCATGGCTGCCACCTAGCCTTCTGTTTAAACATTTGTTAAATTCTACTAGGTGGATGTTCAGGCCTCCTGTGAACACCTACACCTCTTTGGCTTAAGGTGCTACCGGCAGCTCTCTTAAGCCTTTCTAAAGACTAAAGATCCTTTGTCCTGTGATGTACAACTATGAAAATAGGATTTTTGACTTGCCAGTAAAATCCATTTTTTTGAAGTATGGTACATAGTACAGATCCTTCCTGTTTGTTCTTACAATCTTTCTTTTTTTTTAAAAAATGTATCACATTTTGCTACTATCACAAGGTATCTGATAAGCCTTTTATGGGATTCAGTGACAGGTCCTCTTTATGGAGAACTATGATATCTCACCTGTCACTAGTCCAAGCAGATCAAGGACAGAGCGTCCCCAATCTTCTCTTTCACACTGCAGCTGTGCTGGGTTCCTGACAACTCCAAACCCAGAAGTGCACTTCCAGGTTCACTTTCAGTAGACGGAGATTGGGAATGGATATGTCCTGGTCTCCTCTTCCCTGGGCCATCCTGAATACCTCCACAGTGGTTCTGGAATCACAGATAGGCCAGGGAAGAAGCCACTGCATGTACCTTTTGAGCTGTTTCTGTAGCAGGGCTGAAGCCAAGATGTCACAGAGAAGCCAGGCCCTGCGCTGTACTTGGGTAATGTATTCAGATAGTATTGAACCTTTCAGTTCAGCATAAAAGCCAGGCAGCTACCTTTTTCAGCATGAAAGGTGAGCAGTGGCATCTTCCATGTTTTCCTGGGCACAGATTTACTTTAAAGTATCAGTGTAAATATTTTTAAAATGGCTCTTTGGGACCTGCCTGGAATGTTAACACAGCATAAAAAAGCTTATTGTACAATCTTAAATTTTCAAATATTATATAGTTATAATGGCTTATTGTAATTATTTGGAAAAAAACAAAGCTGACCTAAGATCATTTTTGTTTCTGTTCTCCAAGATTCATTTGTAAAGTCTCTATTGACGACAAATTGTTTGGTGAAGCAGAAGGCAAGCAAAAGAAGGAAGCAGAGAGCAAAGCAGCAAAAATAGCATTAGAAGCTCTAGGATATGGAGGAGCTGAGGTGAGTTTTGGAGAAAATCTTTGTTTTGTGATATTTTTATGGTTCCCTGCTTAGGTGAAGTCAATTTTAGTAGATGGAGGTAATATGAGTGATGTCTATAAATATTTTATCTCTCTATCCCCTAAATTGGGGGAGTTACTGTCCTCTGCACTTTCTAGGCCTCTAGAGATTTTAGGATGTTCTAACCATAATATTGTAACATTCATACTAAAAGAACTGCAAATCAAATTGTACTGTAATGAAAGATCGAGCTGGGAAAATCCGACAGGGTGGTTGTGCAGAAGTTGATCGGTAGAAATGTAAAAGTAAAACTGTAAATAGTGAAAATGTAAAAGTTGCTTTGGGTATACAGGTGCAAGAGCTGAAGCCATAGGCAACCGCCGCTGTTAATCAAATCCTGTGAGGGAGGAGCAGGGGCAGGGACGTCAATAGATGCACACAGCCTGGCTCAAAATCAATCTTGCACTAGTGCCTCCATACCAATTAGCTTGCTATGGGGGCTCTCGGAAGGGAGGAGAAGCTGAGAATACCAGCAGGGGACCCCAGAAGAAGAGGTTAGGGGTTGCTCTCTGCAAAACCATTGCGCAGAGCAGATAAGTATAACATGTTTAAATATACTGAATTAAGCATTTTAGCCATCCATTCATGCATTTTGTATTAGTTTGTTGTATTGGTCAATCCACTTAAAACTGAGATGAATATATGAATTTTTGGTAAAATGCTGTAGAATTTATCCTTGTAACACGGGTAGGCAACCTTAAAGAGGTAAAGATCTACCTGACCAACATGGGAGAAGTCAAAGATCACCAGGAACAGTGTTGGCCAGTGTCACCTAACCACATCTGACTAATTGCTGTACTATCGTGTCACAATCACATGCATTGCACAGCAATCATAGGCAAATCAGGTGGTGAGGAGGTACCCACATATCGCCTCCTCACCACCTGTCAAACACACTCAGATCACTTTGCAGAGGAGCAGCAGTGCCTAATTAAATGAATGCCAGTGAGTGAGTGCCAGTGAATTACCCCTTAGTTGCATCTGGCAGTGGCACTCTTGGGGCTCATTCACATGTAAAGTTGGGATGGTAAAACCCTTCTGTTGAGTCACGTTTTTTACCGCCCCAAAGTCCATATCCCCTTTAGACGCTGAGGCAGCAGTCAAAGGTGTACACATGTGGCAGGAGAAATTTCACCCCCTGTTTTGCTGGGTGCTACTGCCTGTCAATCGATACCCATTCAAGTAAATGGGGCCACTCTTCAGGTGACCCATAACTGCATGCTAAAATAGGTGGTTGCAACACACTGCTGCTTGTTTAACTCCTTCTTTGCTGTATTGCACAAGGTTGCAGGACACTTGCAGAGCGGCCTCATTCACTTCAATGGGTCATGCTAGGCAGGTGCTACACACCACCAACTAAGACAGGGCTTAGGAGCCAGCACTACAGAGGAGGCATCAATTATGCGGCTCTTGCTCTCTACTACAGCTCAAACTTTACAAGTAGTTTCTCTGCATTTGATAAAACAGGTATGCAGCGCTAAATGTAGATCAACAAAGATTATAAATAGTGATAGATACAAATGCCAAATGGCGTATTAATGTACCACAACTTCACGTCAGAGATTATCTATCACGGAACATCGAGTGTTGTTTTGCATTTCTCGGTTCTTTGACGGTTATAACACTGTCAGCTGTGGACTAACAGGCACAATATCACCTTTTGTGGACATTAATACGCCATTTGGCATTTGTATCTATCACTATTCATAATCTTTATTGATCTACATTTAGCACTGCATACCTGTTTTATCATTTGTTACTGAGGTGCTGAGGATTGCCTTTTTATGCTAGCAGCTCCCCATTGTTCTCACTTATTTTTGCCATTAATATTGGGTTTCACTCGTTTATTCATTTATTATAGTTTACCTGCAATGCACTTGGTTTTATGCTTTTGGATGGTGGGTCAGCAAGCCCAGATCGTGATCTACCAGCCACCTGTCTGAGATCTACTGGTAGATCATGATCTACTGCTTGATGACGCCGATGTAACATGTACTATATCTTTCAGGGACAATGGGATGTCACTCTGTACTGGAGTTGCTATTCACTTTTTTATTTATTGAGAAAGTAAAAACACCCGTTTCCCTTTTGACCCCAAAGTTGACAAGATAAAAGATGGAAATTAATGTGGAAAGGAGTCCCAAAGAAATATAAGAGACCCTCTAAAAATTGCTGACTGGATTCACTCTGTATTTGAAGCACCACTCTCACACTAGATTTTAATTTTTTTTATTTTTTTCCCCGAGTAGTTTCAGCCTAATTTTATTGCTCTGCTGAATCAATTCTGTCAGAAAAAAAAAGGTTGGACTTTCAGCTTTGTGAAGGCTGATTGCATTGGACCTTCGCATGATCCCGAGTAAGTAACAATTTTGTAAAATTTAGAAGCTTATTTAGCTGAACACTTTGGGCCCTGAATAAGGAAAGATTCTGCACTAAGTAAAATGTATGTATAGTTGAGTAGGGAAGGGTTGAGAATCATCAGTTTATTTTTTTGTTGTCTACACCTGGGTGAGTTCACTTCATTTTCTGTCCAGGAGATCTGTGTATAGTGAGGGGAGTTACACTCTTAGACGTCACTTGAAGTGGTCTCTCCAATGGAAGATCTCCCCTCTATTCCTTTTCTGGTGTACAATTTGTGATTTTATGTCACTCTGTGTACTGGAAACAATAGTCACCAGGACAAATGAAGGTGACCAACCAGTTGTTGAAACAAACAACAATAAAAACCTGATAAGGGTTGTATTCCTTCCTAACTCTAGCCATCTAAAACAAGGAAAATATTTTTTTCAAATACATACACTTTAACACAATTCAGGAAGCTTTGGGACAGTCTCCTCTATTTCTATTTCATTCAGTGATGGTGGGGAACCAGCTCTGGCTGGTTAGGAAGTTGTAGCATATACACAAAAACAGCCCGGTGCTAAGTGCTCCTTTAGTTGGCCCAGTGGATTGTATATGCATATGAAAAGTTGAAAGTCAACAATAGGGTGTTTATCTCCGGCTGCTATACGTGGAACCACCTGGAGTGGTGGAATTTAAAACCCATACCAAAAAGCACTCAGAGGTCACACTTAGATGTTATGGTGATGTTGATTATTAGGTTTGAACACTTTTCTCTCTGGTTTTAAGATAAAGATCATTGCAGTCATCGTAGGTGTAGTCAGGTTTCTGTGTATCAGCTTTCGAGCACTGAACAAGGTTTATCGCAATGTTTACAACAATTGGTGCTGTGACTAGAGGAGAATTTTTAACCAGAAGTTGGCAATGACAATTGTGCTGCAAGGATACCTGTGAAAGCAGTCTTGTGAGGACCCAGAAGCTGTGCTTTGACTTATGTCTGGTAGTGACATAGTGTCTGACCCACAGATTGTTTGGAATTCCAGAACTGTAATCTGAAAACTGATCAGATAACCTGAACTGTATGATACATTAGTTACTTCAAGACTGAGCCTCATATGCTCATATGATCTTAAAACCGTAGAGAAGTGTTCAGACCTAAAAATCAACACCATCATAACATCTAAGGGTGACCTCTGAGCGCTTGGTTGGTGTTTTTTTTGTATCAGGAAGTTATAGCCAGCTCCTGAATCCAAGATGGACTGAATACAATGCTGAAGATTTCAGGTTGTACAATGACCGCACTGGACACCATGATGTGGTAAGCATCTGTTCTGCAAAAGTCAGTAGCCACAGTACTTGTAGCTGCTGACTTTATTTTTCGCAGACCCAGCTGAAGTTCCTCTTTAAATCACAGGGCTCTCTTCAGAGAGGAAAGAAATCCTCCCTGACATTCCTGTAGATGTGAATGTTCTCAAGGCTAGTTCTCTATTTGCTGGCAAGCAGTGACTACATCAAAGGGGGTGCTGGGCTGCCTTCTTCTAACACTGAAAAATCTCAAATGTAATTATCCTGCCAGTTACCACTCAATTACAAATGTAAAAAGGGGAGGGGAGCACTCCTGAAAAATGAGCACCAAAAAACTCTCACACAAAAAGGTATGGATTTAGCGCAACACCTCAAACCTAGAAAAAATGTTTTTAAACATATATCCAAAATGAAAGATTAGAAACAAAATTCTCTGTACCAACAAATATCATTAACTAATAATACATTTTATTCATTAATTAGTTAAAAGCATATACACATTGAACACATCAACACACGCATTAAAAAGTGTCACGTCTAAAGACCAATAAGATATCTTGGATCAAAGTGACCCACATACAGTATATGATAAATATTGTATCTTTATATTATATTAATTGGATAGCAATCAAAGCTGAGAGCTCTAAGAACAAAGGGACTGTCATAGAAGACAGATAGGGATAGAAAGAGTGGCCACTAAGTTTTTAAATTTAGACACAGCATGCTGGACTAATATTGATCCCTGGTCAGTTCCACACACACAGGTGACAAAGATGTACAATGGATAAATTCCTAAATCTCCAGATTCATAATTTTTAACTAATTATTTAATAAAATGTATTATTCGTTAAAGATATGTGTCAGTACAGAGAATTTTGTTTATAATATTTCATTTTGGATATATGTTTAATATTTTTTTTTTCTAGGGTTGAGGTGTCGAGCTAAATCCATACCTTATTATGTGATAGTTTTTTGATGCTTCTTCTAACACTGCATACAACATTTACAAAGCAAGTTTCCCTTTTTACATACTCCAAACATGAAGGCATGTGCTGTACAGAAGTAATGATTAAAGTTACTATGATCTGTTTTGTCTTTCTTACTTCAATAAAACTTTTTGGGAAAAAAAAAAAAAAAAAAAAAAAAATAGTTACTAGAACTGAGCCATTTGGGTCTTATGGGCATCTGAATAGTTTTTTTTGTTTGAATTCATTATTTTCATAATTAATGTCTGCTTTTCAGGTTTGCTTGTAGTGCAGAAGTCAAAGGAAACATATTTCCTGAATCCAGTAGGAAGAAAAATAAAAAACTTGCAGAAAAAGAGGCTGCATATTTAGCTCTTCTGGCGCTGAAGAAAGAATTTCCAGATGATATTGAAGTAATGAACATTTTATGTCCAATGCAGTAATGCACCTAGGTTTAAAGCTGAACTCCAAGCAGTAATTAGATCAGTAAAACAATTAATAAACACTTGGTTCTATAAATAATCACAACTTCCACATGCTGCTCTGGCTCATAAACAGAGGTATCCTTTAGCAAAACCATTATGAAAAGTTGAATTATGACCAAAGAACATAGAAAGCTGGTCTCTAATTGCAGTGAAGTGTTACTTCATACAAAGGACACTAAACTTAAAGTGTTACTAAACCCAGGATCCTGCATTCACTATCCAGTATTCCACAGTGCACAGAATATGGAAATGTGATTATTTTAATAAATATAAACTGTTAAATACCTTTCCCAATACCTTTCAACAGTATGTATATAGCAGTCTTGTGACTTCTATCAGTGTCCAGCCAAATACTGGTTAAAGCTTGTCGGAGGAGTTTTCATTCTCCTCTGACTGTCCTAGGTGGCTGAATAACCCCTGACCCTCTGTCTGGACAGTGCTGATTGGTTTGTGCTGATCACATGCACCCTGCCAAATAAACCTCCAGCAATACACACCAAACTGAGAATGTGCCTCCCAGGGCTCTGTACTACCAGCAGATGGATTATGGACTGTGGAAGAAGGGGAGAATCAGAGAAGACAGGATCAAACAGCCTTTTTATCCAATACGTAGGATTAACCCCTTCAGGTTCCACAGTGAGTATAACAAGCACGCTTTACTGATTATACAGACTCATTTTACTGTTGTGGGTTTAGTAACACTTTAAATCTGAAATAAATGTATGATGTATTGATTTTCCCACCCTCACAGAGAAATAATGAATAACAAAAAAAAGTTATGAAGACATACCTATCCATAATGATCTTGTCCAGAGGCAGAGGCTGAGTGTTTTATATATACAGGTGAAACTCGAAAAATTTGAATATCGTGCAAAAGTTCATTTATTTCAGTAATGCAACTTAAAAGGTGAAACTAATATATGAGATAGACTCATTACATGCAAAGCAAGATAATTCAAGCCGTGATTTGTCATAATTGTGATGATTATGGCTTACAGCTCATGAAAACCCCAAATCCACAATCTCAGAAAATGAGAATATTACATGCAATCAATAAAACAAGGATTGTACATAGAACAATATTGGACCTCTGAAAAGTGTAAGCATGCATATGTACTCAGTACTTGGTTTGGGCCCCTTTTGCAGCAATTACTGCCTCAATGCGGCGTGGCATGGAAGCTATCAGCCTGTGGCACTGCTGAGGTGTTATGGAAGACCAGGATGCTTCAATAGCGGCCTTCAGCTCTTCTGCATTGTTCGGTCTCATGTCTCTCATCTTTCTCTTGGCAATGCCCCATAGATTTTCTATGGGGTTCAGGTCAGGCGAGTTTGCTGGCCAAACAAGCACAGTAATCCCACGGTCATTGAACCATGTTTTGGTGCTTTTGGCAGTGCGGGCAGGTGCCAAGTCCTGCTGGAAAATAAAGTCAGCATCCTCATAAAGCTCGTCTGTGGAAGGAAGTATGAAGTGCTCCAAAATCTCCTGGTAGACGGCTGCGTTGACCCTAGACTTAATGAAGCACAGTGAACCAACACCAGCAGATGACATGGCTCCCCAAATCAACACAGATTGTGGAAATTTCACACTGGATTTCAAGCATCTTGCAGTGTGTGCCTCTCCATTCTTCCTCCATACTCCTTAGGTCCTTAGTTTCCAAATGAGATGCAAAAGTTGCTCTCATCAGAAAAGAGGACTTTGGACCACTGAGCAACAGACCAGGTCTGTTTTACTTTAGCCCAGGTAAGACGCTTCTGATGTTGTTTGTTGTTCAGGAGCGGCTTGACAAGAGGAATACGACATTTGAAGCCCATGTCCAGGATCCGTCTGTGTGTGGTGGCTCTTGATGCACTGACTCCAGCCTCAGTCCACTCCTTGTGAAAGTCTCCAACACCTTTGAATGGCCTTTTCTTGACAATCCTCTCCAGGCTGCGGTCATCCCTGCTGTGGTGCACCTTTTTCTTCCACACTTTTCCCTTCCACATAACTTTCTATTAATGTGCTTTGATACAGTACTTTGGGAACATCCAACTTCTTTTGCAATTACTTTTTGAGGCTTTCCCTCCTTATGGAGGGTGTCAATGATGGTTTTCTACACAACTGTCAGGTCAGCAGTCTTTCCCATGATTGTGATTCCTACTGAACCAGACTGAGAGACCATTTAAAGGCTCAGGAACCCTTTGCAGGTGTTGTGGCTTAATTAGCTGATTAGAGTGGGACACTTTGAACCTAGAATATTGCACCTTTTCACAATATTCAAATTTTTTGAGATTGTGGATTTGGTGTTTTCATGAGCTGTAAGCCATAATCATCACAATTATGACAAATCACAGCTTGAACTATCTTGCTTTGCATGTAATGAGTCTATCTCATATATTCGTTTCACCTTTTAAGTTGCATTACTGAAATAAATGAACTTTTGCACGATATTCTAATTGTTCGAGTTTCACCTGTGTGTGTGTGTATATATGTGTATGTGTATATATATATATATATATAATATAGCACTGCCCCCCTAGGAATCACGGAGTTATTTTCGGCACCCTATCGCACTGGACCCCTTTCTGAAAGCCCAAACCCTGCTGACACCACAGTATTCTTTTGACCAGAGTAAATTAGCTCCAGAAAGTAATCTCACACGCAGATTAAAGTAAAATGATATGACATTTATATTAAACTTCAATGTAAGCTTGGTTAAACAGCACAAAGTAGTATAGGTATGTGTAAAGGCAGTTGTCACTCTTATCACTTCTAAGCAAAGAAACAACATATACAGCAAAATCTCAACCAGTGTTATCAGGCCTGCTTTTCAGAAGTTAACACAATACTTCCAACCTGAGGTGTTTTTTTAGTCCCCAGTGAGCAAGGAGAACTATCAACAGTTGAACTAGCTCACTTTGGGCCCTTAGAATCTAATGGCAAGGTTCAAATCTAAGATAGGAAAGAGCACTTTACCTAGAGTAGTCAATGTCCCTTTAAGTGCAGTGAGGAGTCTTCTGTGCGCTCGTTAGGGCCCAGTTGGTGCACAAGTAGGAAGAGTTGTAGGTGACAGTTCCTCAAAGGATTAATACAAGGAAAGGAAGAAGGAAGGACAAATACAGTCAGGTCCATAAATATTGGGACATCAACACAATTCTAACATTTTTGGCTCTATACACCACCACAATGGATTTGAAATTAAACGAACAAGATGTGCTTTAACTGCAGACTGTCAGCTTTAATTTGAGGGTGTTTACATCCAAATCAGGTGAACGGTGTAGGAATTACAACAGTTTGCATATGTGCCTCCCACTTGTTAAGGGACCAAAAGTAATGGGACAGAATAATAATCATAAATCAAACTTTCACTTTTTAATACTTGGTTGCAAATCCTTTGCAGTCAATTACAGCCTGAAGTCTGGAATGCATAGACATCACCAGACGCAGGGTTTCATCCCTGGTGATGCTCTGCCAGGCGTCTACTGCAACTGTCTTCAGTTCCTGAGTGATTGTTCTTGGGGCATTTTCCCTTCAGTTTTGTCTTCTGCAAGTGTAATGCATGCTCAATCTGATTCAGGTCAGGTGATTGACTTGGCCATTGCATAACATTCCGCTTCTTTCCCTTAAAAAACTCTTTGGTTGCTTTTTCAGTATGCTTTGGGTCATTGTCCATCTGCACTGTGAAGCAGCGTCCAATGAGTTCTGAAGCATTTGGCTGAATATGAGCAGATAATATTGCCTGAAACACTTCAGAATTCATCCTGCTGCTTTTGTCAGCAGTCACATCATCAATAAATACAAGAGAACCAGTTCCATTGGCAGCCATATATGCCCACGCCATGACACTACCACCACCATGCTTCACTGATGAGGTGGTATGCTTAGGATCATGAGCAGTTCATTTCCTTCTCCATACTCTTCTCTTCCCATCACTCTGGTACAAGTTGATCTTGGTCTCATCTGTCCATAGGATGTTGTTCCAGAACTGTGAAGGCTTTTTTAGATGCCTTTTGGCAAACTCTAATCTGGCCTTCCTGTTTTTGAGGCTCACCAATGGTTTACATCTTGTGGTAAACCCTCTGTATTCACTCCGGTGAAGTCTTCTCTTGATTGTTGACTTTGACACACATACACCTACCTCCTGGAGAGTGTTCTTGATCTCACCAACTGTTGTGAAGGGTGTTTTCTTCACCAGGGAAAGAATTCTTTGGTCATCCACCACAGTTGTTTTCCGTGGTCTTCCGGGTCTTTTGGTGTTGCTGAGCTCATCGGCGCGTTCCTTCTTTTTAAGAATGTTCCAAACAGTTGTTTTGGCCACGCCTAATGTTTTTGCTATCTCTCTGATGGGTTTGTTTTGTTTTTTCAGCCTAATGATAGCTTGCTTCACTGATAGTGACAGCTCTTTGGATCTCATCTTGAGAGTTGACAGCAACAGATTCCAAATGCAAATAGCACACTTGAAATGAACTCTGGACCTTTTATCTGCTCATTGTAATTGGGATAATGAGGGAATAACACACACCTGGCCATGGAACAGCTGAGAAGCCAATTGTCTAATTACTTTTGGTCCCTTAACAAGTGAGGCACATATGCAAACTGTTGTAATTCCTACACCGTTCACCTGATTTAGATGTAAATACCCTCAAATTAAAGCTGACAGTCTGCAGTTAACGCACATCTTGTTCGTTTCATTTCAAATCCATTGTGGTGGTGTATAGAGCCAAAAATGTTAGAATTGTGTAGATGTCCCAATATTTATGGACCTGACTGTACTTTCCCCTAAAGTGGCACTTGACTTGGGTGGTGCCCCTTTAATGCACTGAGCAAGTGGCAGATTTTAGGCAAGTAAGATGTCAAAAGCTGGCAGAAGTGCTTGTTGGCAAAGAGCAACTCCCCTCTGGGTTGCAAGGTTCCTTTAAAAGGGTAGAATGATGATTAAGGGAACACAGATGTGGTCTGGCCTGCAGAAGGCGAGCACTGCGGTCAGCTTTGATGATTGGACTGTGCTGCATATGTGTTCAACAGTAGCAGCTGAGGGAACTAGGCCGCAACACGTTAACTACGTGCAGTGTGCACAACTGTGTGCAGGAAAAGTAACCAATATGAGAATGTCAGTGTTGACTTGTTTGGTTTGTTTATGGGACTCTCTCACCTGATCAGTGGCATCAAGCAGATCCTGTGTATGTATGTAAAGGTTTTTTTTTTAATTTTTGGATAGAGTGACTTAGTCCCCCTGTCAGGTTTCTATTGCTTCCTGTGTCCCTGCTGGGGAGATTCATACCTCTGTTTGTCCTGGTGACCTTATTTAGTGAAATTTCCTGTTGCTTCTCCAGGACAGGAAGTGAAGAAAAGTCTTTCCAGTGGGATGCAGGAAGCATAAAATAGCTTAATAGGGGTTTTATCACTCCCTACTCTTTCTGAAAGAAAGTGTTGGCGTTACATACATTTTAGCACAAAAGCCTTCAGATTGCAAGAGGAAGGATCAGTGCTAGTAAGGCCTCTGATATGGCACCTGCCGATTAGGAGGGCCAGCTGCACTGCCTTATTGCAGACACCAATCCTCTTTTGCCTCTTCCTGCAGTATTCCCAGCTTCCATTCTGCTTCCTTTCCTCTGGCTGTGTGGCAGGGGGATCAGTTCTAGCATCTGCCCCCTAATCCCCATGCTGTCTGGGCCTCCATTGTGTGCCCCTTTCCCCCATAATATTGCTGGCTTCTCTCTTCTCCTGTCCCACCAGCAGCTGCTGCTGGATGTTTCAGGATGGAGAGCAGAGGAAGGGGTTAGTAAATACAGTATGTCATATTTACTGACCCTTTCCTTTTCTGAATGAACACAGTGAGTGACCTGTACTGATCAATTCTGTGTCCATTCATCACTAAAACACAGTTTACTATGTTTCAGTTTTTGAATGAACAAGAAGCTGCTCAACACCCATTCATTCACTGTCCAGTGCTGAGGCTGCAGAGAAAGGGATAGAGAATTTATGTACTCAGTCCCTTTCTCAGTCTCAAATGTGAGACATCAGGGGTCTGTTTAGACCCCTGACATTACGCCACAGCTCACCTTCCTCAACAGGGCAGTTAAAAATGCAAAAATAAATAAATAAGATTCAAAACAATAAAAATAAACCGGACATGTGCTTTGCTCTCCTTATTTTCTTCCATCGCTGCAAAGCATAGCATAAAAGGGGGCCATGGCATGTGTACACCCCTAGCCACTGATAAGTGTTCTAATGACTCTCCACTCTACTAACAAACAAAAAAAGTTTTGCCTTTAGTTATACTGTGACCAGTCTGTGTTGATGCTGCTGTTGCAATAGGAATCAAGGATCTGTTGATACTTTCTGGCAGGTTTGTCTGGATCAGAAAATCTGAACAGAATTACAAATCCACTGGCATGTAAAACAATTACTACATATCTATTTCAACTGTTTATTTTACTGCCTGCTTGGATTTCAGCTTTAATCATTAACAATAATACAGTCTACATAGTTTTATGTAATTTGTTTTGCTGCCATTTCTTATATAATTTCACATATGCAATTACAGGAATTACCAGAAGATTTTAAAGATGACTCCAAATCTGAAAACTGGTCTTGCTCTGGAAGGTATTTTTATTTAATTTTAGTTTTTTCCCGTACTGTGCCCACATTGGTTAATTAACCAATGGATAAATATAAACCTCATGTTAGTTTATATGACAAAGTTATCAGTCAGGTATTATGAACAATCTTTTTTTTGCTAGTTGTTGTTTACTATGTTGACTGTTTATTCGTTGTCAGAGAGTACTTTTATTTCCCTATTTCTGTTGTTTTTTTTAACACTCAAAGTGGTTACAGTTCTTCATAAGAGCTGCAAGCACATTTTGTAGTAGCTTGGTCATGCTGCTAAAATCACTAGCAGTAGTGACTGATTGGTTAAACAGTTGGAACATATTGTTTCCTATGGTGTAAATTACACAAGTAGCATTTAGTAGCATGAAGTAACCCCAGTCCTTTTTTGGGGTTTTGTGTGGAATGTGTCAGATTTGGCTTTTTGTTTCTCCACTTTTTTGTGTCAAACCAATCCAAACAAAAGAAATAAACATAAGGATGCCTAAACATTTGTAATTGCAACAATTTTCTCTGGGCAAGGTGGTGCATTATCTGACAGAAATGCAGGGGTGCCAATTCTTTTGGCAATGACTGTACTTGTCAATTGTGTCCTTGGCACTATAGGAACACTATGGGGGAGATTCACTAAAACTGGAGTGTGCAAAATCTGATGCAGCTCTGCATAGAAACCAATCAGCTTCCAGGTTTTATTGTCAAAGCTTAACTGTACAAGCTGAAGTTAGAAGCTGATTGGGTACCATGCACAGTTGCACCAGATTCTGAGTGCACCAGTTTTAGTACATCTCCCCTATGTGTTCTGTTTGTTCAGTGATCCATCTTTACATCTTAAAAGAGAGATATCATTTTACCCCTGTACAAATCATTATTAAGACCTCATCTGGAATATGCAGTTCAGTTTTTGGAGACCAATTCACAAAAAGAACATTGGGGAACTGGAGAAAGTACAGAGAAGGGCAACCAAACTGATACGAGGAAAGATTAGAGGAACTGAATTTATACTTTCTTGAGAAGAGGAGATTAAGGGGGGATATGATCAACATGTATAAAAGATATCAGTGGTTCATATAGTGAACTGGGTGTAGAGCTATTCACCCTGAGGTCATCACAGAGGACAAGAGGGCACTCTTTACGTCTGGAGGAAAAGAAATTTAATCTCCAAACACGGAAAGGTGTCTTCACAGTGAGAGCTGTGAAAATGTGGAATAGACTCCCTCAAGAGTTAGTTCTGGCCAGCTCAATGGATTGCTTCAAAAAAGGCCTGGATTCTTTCTTAGATACACAGAATATAACTGGATACTAACATTTATAGGTAAAGTTGATCCAGGGAATATCCGATTGCCTCTTGGGATCAGGAAGGAATTTTTTTCCCAGCAGGAGCAAAGTGGATCATGCTTTGCTGTTTTTTTTTTTTTTTTTTTTTGCCTTCCTCTGGATAAACTGTGGGTATAGGATTATAACTTTTTTTTTTTCTATGGTTGAACTGGATGGACTTTTGTCTTTTTTCAGCCAGACTAACTATGTAACTATGTAAAAGAGATGTTTTTTCCAAATTATACTTACCTAGGTGAATGCAGCATCGGTCCCCCGCTGGTTATAAGGGTGAGAACTCAGCAAACACATGAGTTTTCACCACTGCTGTGAGCAGAGAGCAGTGACTGTCAGTCACCACTGCTGTGAGCAGAGAGCAGTGACTGTCAGTCACCACTGTCTGCTCTGCCCCCCCATGCTCACTGGAGCACTGGGCTGTGGAGGGGGAGGAAGAAGCTGGCTCTGGCTCTCAGTGGCTCACTAAGAGGCTGAGCCAGGTGCTGGTCCAGACATCTGGGTGGATCCTGACTTTAAAGTCGGGATCTTTCCCCATGCTGGACTGACTGAGTGATGTCAGCCGACAGTGGGCTTTAGCCAGGTGTCAGCTGTAAATGAATCACAGGAGTTCAGAACGAACTGTACTCCTGTGATCCACAGGAGAAGTATAGCCAAAAGAGCTTTCTCTTTTAATGATTAATCACTAATGATTTTAGTAGCTTGCTGATGCTAATGAAAATATCCATGTATATCTAGTGATATTGTCCTTTCTTATTTATTTGTCTTTAATTATTTTCAATAGTTTATAATTAGTAAATGGTTCTGTCTAGTGTTGCAAGATTGTAATGTCTATGGTGTTAGGAAAGTTCAAATGATCTCGGTTGGTATGTTATAGAAAGTCCTTTCATCAAGCAGTATCCAAGTATCTGGGTACCCTGAATCTGATCTAAAGGAAAGTGTAGTAGGGATAGGTCTTGTTATGATTTAAATCATTCTGTTAATACATTTTAGAATTAACAACCAAGGAAATCCAGGAATCTCACACTAATTCATGCTTTAACTTTACAAATACAATAGTATAGGTGCTTGGTCCATGAGTCTACTTCCAGTGAAGGACTATTAAGCACCTTGCTGTGGTCAGTGCACGTAGAGGCAACCTTCTAGAGTCCGTAGTGTGTTAGGGGTTACTGGTCATAGTAAATAGGTGGAGGAGGCAAAAGGCAATATGTGGAGGTCCCTTGTTTAAGGCGTATCCGACATTTGTCAGGGATGTAGGAGTTGAAGGTGTGCAAAAGGGAGGGTTAAGATACCAGTGGTAGGGAAGGTTGAACTGGTTTTCTTTGTAAAGTGTATAGCCTGAGATATTCCTCCAAGGTCATTTTTTTTGTGTTACAATATGTTCCCATTTGATTTTGATTGTGTTTCATAGGTGGGCCAATATTTTGGGTTTTTTAAATTTTGTAGATGTTCGACATTACCCTTCTACATATTGATCCCATAGTACAAAGTGTTTTGAAAGGTGTGAGGAAGGAGAAATATAATTTCGGAGCAATAGATTGTGCAAAGTGCTGAGGTGAGGAAAAACACAGAAATGTTCTAGCCCTCACACATATGAAATTGCAAAAAGAGTTTTGTGTTTCTAGGCTATGGCCATGTAATAGATAAGGCCCCTTTCACATGGGCATTCCATTTTTTTCATCAGTTCAGTCACGTTTTTTCCAAGAAAAACGGATCAGTTCACATCAATTTTTCATCAGTTTACATCCGTTTTTCATCCGTTTACATCCATTTTTATCCATTCACATCTGTTTTTTCGTCCGGTCCTTTTTTTTAATGGAAGAAGAATAGGGTTTTCTTCAGTTCAAAAAACAGATGTTAACGGATGCAGACATTAACGGATGAAAACAGATGATCATCCGTTTACATCCGCTAGTCCATATAAATACATGGGTGTCCGTTTTTCATCCGTAAACGGGCAGATGAATAACGGACATACAGAACGCCCATGTGAAAGGGGCCTAAGGCTGTCATGTATGGCTGGTGTAAAGAGAAAGGAGAACATGGGGCAGGCTGGGGAAGTTAATTAGAATTTTCATAATGTAGCAATAAAAAGTAACACACTGCACCTAGCTGCATAGATGTAATGTTACATTTTGTATGGGAAATTGATCACTAGTAAATTACCATTAAATATGTACAGAAAATGCAAACAAATTAACCATTAAAGTTGTTATTAGTGTGGGGAAGTATTAGCACTCCTACCATGTTTTTACTGCTATCTGAAGCTCTGTTAGAAAGATTTCACCTAACGTCCTATCCTGCTAAGTGTGATTTCACCAAACCAAAAAGGAAAAATCTGAAACCGTAACACACAAAAAAAAAATCATACAGGGGTTCTATCTTTCTACTCAAAGAAAATTTTTGACCACTGCAGTTGGGCTAGGCCTTTGTGAAGTCTATGCTTGCCTGCAAGGGGATGCATAGGTGTTCCAGGCATCCCCATGCAGACAGTCCCATTCATGCCAGTTTGGATGCAGCAGTTGCACAGACACAGCCATTGCTCCAAGTTTGAAATCTGTGAAGGTACTTGTCCCCAAACACAGGTAGTGTATAAGTCGTATGATGCTTGGAAAACATTTGTAAACTGAATATACCTGGTAGATTAAAAGCCCATTGCTAATGCTGTTATTATATACAAATGTGTTACAGCACTAGTGACTCTAGTATGGATAGGAGCATAGCTGAAAGTGGACGGCAACAATCATCTCCTGCATCTGAGGTATTTGTAAGACAATAAGAAACAGAATGCTTTTACAGTGTGCCAGTATTTGATGAAACCAGAATATTTTTTGTAATTTTTACTGCATGTATATATTTGTGTTGACCAGGGCTTTTTTTCAGCAGGAATGTGGGGGAACGCAGTTCCGGCACCTCCAGCACTGGATGTATGTAATGGCAAGGGGTGCTGGGGGGTCTATTGATGCTTGCTGCTAGGGGATCTATTGTTGCTGGGGGGGGGGGGGGGTCTATTGTTGCTGGCTGTAGGAACTAGGAACTGTAGGAACTGTATTCTTTAAAATGGGTGGTACTGGGAGGTGAGTATGAAGTGGAACCAAATGACGGTGCTGGGAGGTGGGTAGTGGGCGGAGACAGTGTGACTCAGAAGAGGGGAGTTCCTGCACCTATTCTCTGAGAAAAAAAGCCCTGGTGTTGACTTGCTATAGGAGTAGAGACTGTTAATTGACTTTTATGAATAAGGTAAATTGGAATTCACTTCGATCATCCAGACATGTAGTAGCAAACTAGCAATATTCCAGTTTTTCCTTTCTTAATTTCGCCTGCACATGTTTGGTTATTCAAAATTAGCACAGCTTCACCATTTTTCCTCTACAAAGTGAATTGCTTTAGTATCAAACCTATAGCACTTGAATGACACTTTGACTGTTTCTTGTTTCTTTACAGCCTCACATTGAATTTTTTAGCTCATATAAAAAGAAGGAAACAATAAAAGTTAATATTAATTGCTAATAAACGATCACACAGCAAATAAATATTTCTGTATCAATGTTGGTCTAAAATCCGACTTTATGGGGAATTAAAGCAAAAGTCTGCAGCAATGCATTTCAGATGACGAGCCCTTTTTATAAGTAGCACAGAGCATATAAAAAATACAGAAGATTTATATACTAAATAATCTAGTTATTACCAATTCATAAAACCTGGTGTGGTATAAAGGGAAACACAAAAATTGCTAATTTCTGTTTAGTTCTCTTAACCTGTTAAACCCTAAAGACCGGTTCATACCTAAATCCCACAGGAATGAAGAATTCAGTGCAGTTCTATTTTCAGCCCATTCATTTAAATGGACTGAAATTGCACTGGATTGCACAAAAATAGTGCTGTGCATGCTCTACTTTTCAAAAACGCAGTGCATCAGATTGCACAATGCTGTGGAACCATGCAGTCTGGTGCAGGCTAACGCTCTTCATTTGCGATCTGTGTTTGAAATATATATTCACACCTGCAGCAGAGCGCTTACCCAGTGTTTTGTGAACACATTACAGGAAATGCGCATGGAACGCAGATTTCCCGCACTGCATTCTGGTGTGAATGAGCTGTAAATGAAATGCAGACCAGAGCGCTTGTATGAGTAGATACCGCTTTCACAATTTGTGTCTAGATGTCCACATTCTTACTTTGTTTCATAAAATAGAATTTGGTTTTACGCCACCTATATTAGCAATCCTGAAGTGGAACGCTGTTTTATGGGTCTATTTATCAGTGCTTTCACCCAAGAATCATGGAATATTCACCAAACATTCACACGTTTTTCACCCAGGATTCAGTTAGAAAAATGTTTGAATCTGATAAAGAGCTCACGGAAGACTTCACGTTCATTTCCCTAATGCCCATCCACTCTTCATTCCTGTGTCTTCATTGCCAGGAAACCGGGACAGTGCCCACTGCGCGAGCCATGCCATTGGCTGGCATGGCTCGCGCAGGGCATCTTTGTTGCCAAGCAACAGGTTGCTTCCATCTGCCAAACTTAAAATAGCACTGGTTGACCTACAGCCACACACCCTGCCTATGATTTCTGCCCCCTGGTTGGCTGTGTATTCCTGGCTAGTTATTTAAGCATCACAAGGCTGGGGCTCTGGGTTTGTGATAGTGGCTGGTACCTAGCTCTCTACCTGTTGTGCTCTACCTACTGTGCTACTTGTCATTGAATTATTAATTGCTCACCCCTGCCCTGTACGCTGACTAATCAGAGTTTAATTTGCTGCAATGAAATATGTGAAATATGACTATGCTATGATTTACTGTACTATGGACATAGTTACTTGCTTCAGATATACCCAATGTTATTTATTTGTTAGGGACATCAATGTTATTAGTATTTATCACTTTTTATAGCATCAACAGAACTACACTGCAATACTTAATGAAATCTGCCAGAGGAAAAAATGGATCTGCAATTTTGTGGACACGCCCCTTGGTGGACCTTCACATAAACTCCAGTAGGTTACCATAACTGAAAAAAACATAATAAGACAAAGTAGACCGTATGTACAAATAAAAACAGTACTTAATCTGTATACAATCTGTGATTATTAGAGAGAGACTTGCTTCAGAAAAATGTGGGAAAAATGTGGGTTTTTTTTACATGGATGCTCTAAATTTTGTAATCGTGCAACAAGAATGCCAGATCTGCCGACTAAATGAATCTATAAATAAAAGAATGAAAGGATCAATCCACCCAAAAATATTTATTTAGTTACAGGTAGACTCTAATGGAGTAAGTATCTTATATCTCCTGAGGACTTAGGTGGCAAGATCTCTTTTGCATGTTTATGACACTGTTCCTACTCACTGTTGTCTTACATTTCCTGCAACGTAAGAGGTGGGTGTTGGGTGGTCCTTCTTCTACAGTTTAATTTTGCATATTGCAAGATGAATGAATTTTCCAGCAGGAAAAATTCACTCATTTAAGTATGGTGGATTAGTGTTTAAATTGGATTTAGGTTGTTGAAACGCGGTAGTTTATTTTATTTCTTTTGCTTTATAAACTAGTAAATTAATGTTCCTTTACACTTTGTTGTCTTTGTCTATAGTTATGTTAACAGTCTGGTATTTTTTTCCTACAATAAAGTCTATGGAATAGTATATAATCAGCAACTGCAAGTTTTTTTACATTTTGATTTTAGTTTACAAGACATGTTGGATGGAACTCTAAAGTGGCTGTAAACTTCTGACATGAAATAGAAAAAAACATATCCTCCTATAGTGTGTGCTTGTATCAATCCATAGCACTAAGTTTCATTTCTGTCTGCTGCCTCATTCCTCTGTTATCATTATGAGTCACTTCTAACAAGTTTTCCTGCAACCAAAAAAACAAAATTGGGACGGAGAGGGATCTCCAGTAGATTCCCTCTCAAATAGGTGTGCTTCTCAAATTATTAAAAATTAAATCAACAATAAATAATAACAATGCATCAATCAAGTGCTTTATTTACATAAATGAAAAAAAATTAATCATAAATAGAACCATAAGCTTTAGAAACACAAAGTGACAGTCCAACATTTATTATTGGGGGAAATTGGAGGTTTAATATTGGGGAAAGTTTTTTTTCTTGGAGTGTCACTTTGTGTTTCTAAAGCTTTTAGTTCTATTTATGATGAGATGTCGTACCACATTTTTTTCATTTATTTAATTTTGAGTGTGAGTACACCGGAGTAGTGAGTACAGCAATCTTCTTACCTGATGCTATTACCATAGTTGGAACATAGCAGCGCATAGGTCTTTACCATTTGCCTTATTTATTTAATAAAGTGCTCAGTCCCAACAATTTCAGAACAGTTTTTGGCGAGAAACTTTGCACACGAGTGATTATTCATGATTCCTCCGCCACATAATAGATATTTAGCCTCTTGCCAAATAAATTGATCTCAATAATAAAGAGATCAATACACACTTGTGTGCATTCAATCAGCACTAGCCCCGCTGTCATCAGCCTTTCATTGCCTCACCTCCACGCTATCACAGAAAAGAAGGAAACTCTTTCCAGTTGTAGAGATTATAATATCCCTCCAAAGACAAAATCAGGGGAGCCGCAATGGTGTTCTATCCTAAAAACTAGTATTTACTAAAAAGCAGACATGTACTCACAAAATCAGAAGATATCAAAGCGCATATCAAAAGTGACGCCAAAATTCCAATGTTGGCATGTGTGTGATATCACAGGCTAGGCCCCACCCAACATGTTTCACCACCAATCAGAATCGTCAAGGGTATGGAGCATGTAGATTGACAGCCTCAGCTCTGTTCCTGTGTTCTGGGTGAAGGAGGTGTGTAACTTCTCTCCAATCAGCTCTCAGAGCTCTCCTCACTGAGTATAACTTCAGCACCCCGCCCCCTGCTTTTCAGAACTGAGAGATCCTGTGTAAATCCTGCACTTTGAATAGATGTAGAGGACACACAGCTGTAGATAAACAGGTAACTGTCTTAATGCATACAATACGTTGAGGTAAAAAACACTTAGACTTTAGAACCACTTTATTGATGCCCAGTTTATGTCTCAAGGCGATTTCAACTTATCTACACATTGCTAACCAGTTAATCTAAAATCCTATTGATCACTTTAACAGCATCTCCTACTGCTCAGTTTGACATTTTATCGACCTTTTTTCTAAAATTCAAGAATGTTGTGTTTTGTTTAGTAATTGTTTTTTATTTTGAACAGTGTTGGAAATATATTATTATATTCTACATCATTTAAATCAGCATTAGATTTAATATAAAATGTATAACTTGATTGGTTTAATCACATTAGGGTACTTGCACATGGTACTGAAGAATGAACATCCATTTCCTGGCAGAAAATTCCTGTATAAATATGCAAGAATGGGCAATATAGTAAAGGAGGGAATTTGCACGTTTTCACGCATACACATGCACGCACTTGAAAAAATCCTTTAGCTTTTCTTTTGATCTGTTGTTTATGCATATTTGCACGTATACTCATGAAAATATTGCCCTGCAATGCAGATGTTTGGGGGTTTTTTTTAACCAATCTATATGCAGCACAGGTTTTTTGGTGCCTCTTTGCACATGCCCATTATAAACAATAGGATGCATTTACATCAGTAACAAAGCCTTAAAGAATAAAATCATGGCGTTTTCATGTGCAAAAGGCTTTAAAGACAAAATTTCACATCAAACTGAATAAAGATTGACATTTTCTACAGGTGCCCACAATTCTGAACAGTGATACTGTATATGGTAATGATATTCAAGCAAGGATATGACCAAGGTATTATTTGAGAAAATATCTGTCTTGCAGAATGGGCTAGTTGTAGTAGGAAGAGCTTTCAAAGGGCATTGATCTTGTGACAACACAAAAAGATGAAAAAACACTGAATGATAATGTAGGTAGGTGTGTTGATTTACTAAAGGCAAATAGGCTGTTCACTATGCAAGGCAAGTTTCCCCCAGAGCTTAGTGAATGTGGTGACATTTTTGAATACCCAATCATGTGCAAGAGAAAAAAACACATTTTTGTTTGCACAAAGTGCAACTTTCCTTGCAGTGTGAAGTGAAAAGCATATTTGTTTTTGAAAAATCAGCTCCAATATCCTGAATTTTCCATGTTGTATTCAGCAGATTACTGGTTTGCACTATAAAAATAAACATTTGATGTCCCTTATTCAGGCTGGCTATAGGTCCTGAGATGTAGTGAATGATTCTAAAATTATATTTGTACTTTCTTATGTGTATTTTATTATTAGGCAACAGCTTATTGTTTCATTGTTCTCAACAATTTCATTTGCAGATTTACTTGCAGAGCAGAAATCAATGGCAAAATCTATCCTGAAAGTAAACCACATACAACAAAAAAGCTGGCTAAAAAGGATGCAACATTTCTTGCATTGATTGAACTCAAAAAGGAATCCCCTCAGGATTTTCCGGTAGGTCTTAAAGTGTTTTGTGTACAAAAAGAATGCATAAATTGTGTGTAATCTTAGTCCGCAGGGTTCAATATTGAGTTGGCCCACCTTTTGCAGCTATATTAGCTTCAACTCTTCTGGGAAGGCTGTGCACAAGGTTTAGGAGTGTATCTATGGGAATATTTGACCATTCTTCTAGAAGCGCATTTATGAGGTCAGGCTGATGTTGGACAAGGAGGCCTGGCTCGCGGTCTCCACTCTAATTCATCCCAAAGGTGTTCTGTTGGGTTGAGGTCAGGACTCTGTGGAGGCCAGTCAAATTCCTTCACCCCAAACTCATCCATCCATGTCTTTATGGAGCTTACTTTGTGTACTGGCGTGCAGTCATGTTGGAACAGAAGGGAGCCACCCCCAAACTGTTACCACAAAGTTGGGAGTATGAAATTGTCCAAAATGTCTTGGTATGCTGATTCCTTAAGAATTCCCTTCGCTGGAACTAAGGGGTCAAGCCCAACCCCTGAAAAACAACCCTACACCATAATCCCCCCTCCACCAAACTTTACGCTTGGCACAATGCAGTCAGGCAAGTACCGTTCTCCTGGCAACCGCCAAACCCAGACATGTCCATCAGATTGCCAGTTAGAGAAGCGTGATTAATCACTCCAGAGAACACATCTCCACTGCTCTGGAGTACATTGGTGGTGTGCCTTACATTACTGCATCCCACACTTTGCATTGCACTTGGTGATGTAAGGCTTGAATGCAGCTGCTTGGCCATGGAATCCCATTCCATGAAGCTCTCTACGCACTGTTGTGCTAATCTGAAGGCCACGTGACATTTGGAGTTCTTTAGCTATTGACTCTGCAGACAGTTGCCGAGTTCTGTGCACTACCCCGCTCTGTCATTTTACATGGCCTTCCACTTCATGGCTGAGTTGCTGTTGTTCCCAGTTGCTTCCACTTTGTTACAATACCACTAACGGCTGACCGTGTAATATTTAGCAGCAAGGACATTTCATGGATGGACTTATTGCACAGGTGGCAACCTATCACGGTACCACACTTGAATTCACTGAGCTCCTGAGAGAGGCCCATTCTTTCACAAATGTTTGTTAGAAGCAGTTTGCACACCTAGGTGCTTGATTTTATACACCTGTGGCCATGGAGGTGATTGGAACACCCAAATCCAATGATTTGGAGTGGTGTCCCAATACTTTTGGGAATAGAGTATATGTTCTGCTAGACTGTTAAACCCCTGCTTTATCACACACTGTCACCATTTAGTCAAAGGCTCGAAAACCAGGCAGCTATGAGGATCTATAAAATTTTGAAAACTCCTAAATTGTTATAATATTGCCAGCAAATTTTGGTGAATAATATGCTACTGATATTCATTTCAGGAAATCTCATGTCGATCCTGAGTGCAAGATCTTCTATTGTGAGGTATTTTCTTGTTGTGTTATAGTTTTTTTTTTTTAATTTGTATTTTAAATCAGACCTTACACTTCGGTCCTTTTATACATTCTGCCCCCCTCCCTGAAAAGTACCTGTGGGGGGAAAAATAGATTATATGCGCGCCCTTCTCTGGCTTCCATGTTGCAGGCAGTGGCATCATCCTTCGGCCGACAAGATCCCTGGGAGTGCTGAGTGGCTGAAATTTCAAAAGAAGGCAGTGCAGCACAGTGCAAAATCGTCTTCTTGTGAGATTTTGATCTATTCAGCATTCTTTGAGATCTGCCCGGAAACAGGATTACATCACCTTCACCCTCAACAGAAATAAAAGTCAAGGAAAGGTACAGGGGTTAGACAAAAAAATAGAAACACAACATGATTTGCAGGTATGAAAGTGATGTCATGTTTTGCATTCAAAGTGGAAGTAATGTAACATTCTTTTGCTTCCGCTGTGTGAGGAGACACCTATCTAACAGGTGTCATTCACAGCGTGTGTTGCTAGTAATACGGAGTCATGTCAGAACTTACTGAGTTTCAAAGAGGGCAAATCTTTGGGGCCGCTTAGCTGGTTCCTCTGTCACTAAAGTTGACAATTTATTTGTCATGTCATGAGACACAGTGTCAAAGGTTATGACAGTATACACAGTTTCTGGGAAACCATCATCCGATAAGCATCAGCGTGGTGGGCATGGTCAACTCAACTGACAGAGACAAAAGGACATTGCGCAGGATTGTGACCCAGAATAAAAAAACAACAGCTGCAAAAGTGACTGCTGAGCTCAATCTCAGTCTTCACTACATATAAGTAATTTTCCCCGTAAATTACAGAGTATCTCTCCAAATCTCCTTCCTTTGCTTCTGAGATTTAGTAGCCAGTGTACTATCTGATGGAAGCTCCCAATTATAGTTGGTAGGGTTAGCCTGCTTAAAATGATGAAAAAAGAAAAAAGCCATAAGGATTCCAACCCTCCCTTAAAATGGAATTTCACGCTTACGCCTAGCTAGGGGAGAGGAGGGAGTACAAATAATGGATGAGCAGGGGCGGACTGACAACTCATGGGGCCCCCGGGCAATAGGGGATCATGGGGCCCCTGTGTCCTTGCCCAAACCCAAAAAAGCCTATGAAAAAGGTACCAGGGGCATCTCCTGGGGCCCCCTACTGACCCCGGGCCCTCGGGCAGTGACCGAGTTTCCAAATGGTCAGTCCGCCCCTGTGGATGAGCCAATGAAGTCTATGGGTAATGTCACCACTCCAGGCTTTACTAGCCATTGTCAGAGCACTCTCTCTTCTGCCCTGCAGTCACCACAAGGGAGGTCACGTGACCAGAGTGGCATGAAAATAGGTAGGTATATACACATCATACTCCCTTTCACAGGTAATTTAGCATAGATGTATGGAGGGGGCAGTTTTAAAGTGGCTCTAAGGGCAGAAGGTTTTTTACCTTAATGCATTACGGTTAAAAACCTTCTGGATGCAGCTCTCCCCCCTCAGCCCTCCTTATACTTACCTGAGCCCCATCTCAATCCAGCGATCTGCATGGGAGCTGCGGCTCTCCCTGGTCTCTCTTCCTCATTGGCTCACACAGCAGCAGGAGCCATTGGCTCCTGTTGCTGTCAATCACAGCCACTGAGCCAATGAGGAGAGAGTGGGGATGGGGCCAAGCCACGCTCTGTGTGTGAATGGACAAAGTCCATTCACAGGACCGTGCTCGGTAGCGAGCCTGCTCGAGTACCCCCCCATAGCAAGAGACTTGCTATTGAGGGGACTTGGCAGGGGGAGGAGCCAGAACTACAAGCGGGGAACCCAAAAAGAAGAAGATCAGGGCTACTCGCTGCAAAACCATTGCAAAGAGCAGATAAGTTTAACATTCTTGTTGTTTTTTTAAATTACAACCGTTAGAATCACTTTAAGACTGGTTATGTGTTTATTGAGAATAAATTGGACTTTAAGGATTAAAATGATGTGGATGCCTCGGACCAATGTAACTATGTATTTATCATCCCTAGCTGAAGTAGACAGTGCTACTTCATTGGTCTCCACTTTCTTCTGGGTCCCTTTTGCTTACTGAACATGACCCTCAGCACGGGTGCCAAAGCATTCTCTGAATGAATGCGAAGTGTTTTCTGATTGGACAAGGTGGAAATCGTGGGGTAACCAACTTGCCTTTCCACCTTCTCCAACAGTTTGGATTTTTGTAAATGAAACTGCCAATTTTGCTGCACAGCTTGGTCTTTTATGTTACATTTTACATGTTACATTTTTTTTTTTACTGATCTCTCGTACCTTTCTGTTAAATATGTATTTACAAACAAATTAACTGTTAAAGTGTATGTCAAGCCAGAAACTTTTTTTTTCTAGTTCTGGATCTAGAGTGGAAGGAATAGAAACTGCCAGGTTTTATTTATTTTTTTCTGCTATCTGAAGCTTTGTTAGTGAGATATCCTCTCACTTCCTGTCCTTCTGTAGATGATTTCACCAGACAGGAAGTGAGGGAATATCTAGATCAAGAAAGCAGAAATAGAAGTTTGACAGGGGTGCTAGCCTTCTCCTACTCTATTGAACAAATAAATTATCGACCACTCTAGATTTGTTATAAGTCATATGCTACTTGGAAATTTGTACATTGATTATACCTGGTGGATTATAAAGCACACTGCCGATTATGTAATTGTATCCAATTGTGTTCTAGTGCTAGTGATTTAAGTCAAGATAGAAGAACTGGTGAAAATGGACCGGTCCAATTAACTGATGACTCTAGTTTGGATAGAAGCACACCTGAAAAGGGACTTCAACAATCAACTGCTGCATCTGAGGTAATTTTAAGACAATAAGAGGAAAAAGGGAATGCTTTAACAGGATTCCAGTATTTGATGAAACTAGAGTATTTTGTAATTTTTACTACGTACACATACTGTATATACAGTATTTGTGGTTACTTACTAAAGGAGTAGAACTTGTTAAACTATATGTAAACCAAAACATTTCATATTCCTGCTGCTGAACTATGTGTTTCTATGAAAAAAGATCCTGTTCTCTTTGTATTGCTTTCTTTGTGTGAAATCTCTGGTGTTCTGACAGTCCTTTTACTTCTACTTAAAAGCTGACCACACTAGGCATGCAAGCACAGTGTGGTCAGTTCTCTAGCTATGCTAAAAGCTAATACAGTGATCAGGCATGTGCTGACATGCCCCCGTCTGCTCATCCATTAATTCAGACGTTCAGTGTGCTGTTGTTTCCTCCCTCAGCTCCTGCTGCAGAACAGAGGTTATGTGAGCTCTTATAAAAAAGTAAAAAAAGGTATTTCTAATGTTTATGTATGTATGTACACATAAAAGTTTTACATTTCATTTCTATTTTTAAACTGAATGAGTTGTTTTACAAGGTGAGGGTTTACATGTAGTTTAACTGTATGTTAGTTTTACAATATATATGTTTTACAAAAGTTTTACCATATATATGTAAAGTGCTGCGTAAATTGACGGCGTTCTATAAGTACCTGAAATAAATAAACTGACCTTAGTGATTAGTGAAGAGGGTAAATTGGAGTTCACTTCAATCATCCGATCATGCAGTAGCAATATTCAGTTTTTTTTTCCGGTCTTATTTTCTCCTGCACATGATTGGTTCTTAAACATTAGCTCAGCTTCACCATATTTATTCTGTAAAGTGAACTCCTTAGTGTCTATGCATTTTACTAAAACTTAGGCTGTTTTTTATTTTTATTTTTTTTCAGACTTTCTTTTCTTGTTAGATATATAAAATAGAGGAAACAATACAGAGTTGTTAATAATTAAAATTAATGTATCACACAACTCACCTGTTCACTAATTTCCGCTCTAATTTCACTTCAAAGAATAAACAAATAGCCAGCTCTCTGTATCAATGTTGGTCTAAAATTCATCTTTATTGGAACAATAAAGCAAATGGCAGCTGCAATGCATTTAAAATGACAAGCCCTTTTTTTCCTGGTAGCACTGAGCATAAAAGCCCAGAAGCTTTATATATTGAGGTTACATTTACATGGGTGATTGAGGCCATACAGCAGATTCTATGGCTGTTTGTATGGCTGTTACACACACAGTGGCTACCCACAGTTAGGGACGATGTTAGACCCTAGATGCAGAAGATGGAAGGAAAGAAAATCACCTAATTCCCCCATCAACACAGTCAGAATGAAATATGTGAATTATAATTATGCTATATTTATTTATTTATTACAGGTACTTATATAGCGCCGTCAATTTACGCAGTGCTTTACATATATATGTTGTACTTTTACATCAGTCCCTAACCCTCAAGGGGCATACGATCTAAAGTCCCTAACTTATGTTCATACATACACATACAAGGGACAATTTAGACAGGATCCAATAAACCTACCAGCATGTTGGAGTAAGGGAGGAAACCGGAGTACCCAGAGGAAAACCACACAGACACAGGGAGAGAATGCAAACTCCAGGCAGGTGGTTACATGGTTGTGATTTGAACGACCCTAGCACTGCCGGGCGGAAGTGCTAACCATTTAGCCACTGTACTATTAACATAGTTATTTGCTTCTTTGAACAATAGCAATTATTATTTCTTAATTGCACATTAAGGGATACAAGATTAAGTATTTGGGTACATTGGGTTATGCTGATGTCTTCAGGAGACTGGATGGTGGGGAAAAAAAAAGACTGCACAGCATAACCTCTCCTACTCTTAGCATACACTTTTTTGCTGTTCTTTTTTTTTTTTTTGTGTCCCAAGAGCTAGTGTCCTTTCTGCTCTCAGAGGAGCAAACCTTATCTACTTTTTACAACACATTCTTTTCTTCTAGCGAGATTCTTCAGTTGCTGCAGAGCCACTGGGGCTCATTTTGCAACTTTTCAGATTGGCTTATTCTTGGCATAGCCTTGGAGGCTGTGCCTGGATCCCACTGTAAGGCAAAAGCGGGCTGGGCCTGAATTGTGCCCTTGGAACAACGAACTCTATGTGGGTTGCCCTCTTAGACACTTTTGGCATAACATGAGTGCTTTATAGATCTAGCGCCATGGTGTACCTGTCTGACGTAACCTTATATCTTGAGACTCTCTAGAGTGTATGCCCACCAGGAGGGTGAAGTCTAGCTGGATGGAGGATGTACTTTGGATCCTGCCTTACCTGGGGGCTTCGGGTCTTAAGATCATCACTGGGTATCTCTCCCTTTACTGTGGGAGTAACCTTTGGTTGCAGTCCAGAAGCGTAAAAAGACAAAGGGAAATTTTTAATTTAGCGCAGTTTATTATTATAGAGGATTTATATAGTGCAAACAGTTTGCGCAACGTTGTAGATTGAGAATAGGAGAGGTCCAAGAATGGGGGACCCCGACAGAGAAAGGAAGAAGAGAGGAGGAAGTAGAATTGTAGGTAACACGGTGCAGTTGGAAAGTAAGATGAGAACCAATGAAGAGTACTGTCACAGAGACCAAAGGCATGGAGTTTTTTTGAGGAGGAGGGGGTGGTCAACTGTGTCAAAGGCAGCAGAGAGGACAAGGAGTAGGAGTACAGAATAGTGTCCATTGGATTTAGCCGTTAACAGATTGTTTGTGAGTTTTAGGAGAGCAGTTTCTGTGGAGTGTTGAGGGTGAAATCCAGACTGAAGGGGATCAAGAAGGTTATACTCAGTGAATTGGATTGCTCATTTGGTTGTAGACCAGACGTTCAAAGAGCTTGGATAAAAAAGGGGTGTATGGAGATGGGGCATAAGTTGTTTACAAAGGGCTTACTGCCTGATCTCCCCTACTGAGTCTGCATAGCCTTCCATCAGGTTGGTTGTGCTGCGCATGTGCGCACCATTTCTCCAAAGCACATGCAGACCTAGTCAGCCTTTCCTGCCAACTCCTTCAGCCACACCCAAACCATGATCCTTCAGAATATTTGGTTGGGCTTCCTGCAACAGTTTTTTTGTGCCTACCCTTGCAAGCAGTCTCTCACTCTATACCTAGTATGGTGGGTCATAAGTGCAAGGTTAGTGGCTCTTTGGGCCTTGCCAACTCACCATCCACTAAGAGTTTTGGGGGGTCTTGCAGTGTTCTCCCTAGGGAGCCTGACACCGATAGTTTGGACCACTGTCCCCTTCCTTGGTTGCAACACACCTCCTTTTTCCTTTACCTCTTCAGTGGTACCTCCTTGCTCATTTTTTTCTAGGGAAGCATTAAAAGCTACTATGTTTAAGCTTATGGGAAAAATTGGAGCCATAACTGACTCAGAAAGCAAGGGCTGCAGTCCTATACTCTTCTTCAGGGTCTCTCTCTGAATTCCCTGGGGCCACAGTTGCTTCTACATAGTTAGCTGAGGACTATAGTATATCTGTTTTCAGGAATTGGTACAGGAGGTGTCTCAGTCTGCAGACATAATTGCAAAATTCAAGGATTCCATCTCAGTCTTTATTGACACAGTCCACACATGCCTGCCTGCATCAGCTGCAGCTAGTTAACAACCTGGGTTCTCTAAAAAGCCTCCAGTCTGTTAAGACATTTCTATTGTATTGCCTATTGCAACTGGTCTTGTATAAGGACTGGCCTAACTCGGATAAAGTCTGTTCTCCTCCAAAATGTTTTGCCCAGCAAGAAGCTAGGGAAGAGGGGTCCCTAAAAAAAAATTTTTTTTGGTACACTTTTTGCATATGTCCTTTGATTGGGAAATGGTAAATTTGTTAAATCCTTTGACAATTTTAATAGGTAGAGAAAACCTTTCATTTTCCCAGGCCGCCAAGTCCAAGGCAAAGCCAATGACTTCCTCCAATTCCATGAACCCCAAAGTCCTCCAAATCCACTAACAAGTCCTCCTTATCATGAGGGAACACCCCCTACTTGTCAGAGTGTGGGGACTTCTGTTGGCGAATGTGGCCATCTGGTTGTCTGCCACCCCGCTTCATATTGTCAAACGTACCTGTGTCCCTGCAAGGATTAGCAGACATTTGCCTTTCTCTGTTGCAGTTTCCCTTTCAAGAGGTCACACCTATTGTCCTGGCAAAGAGAGGTTCCAAAGCTTCTACTTAAACCTGTTCAATGTCTCCAACGCCAAGGAGGGCATCTGCCCCATCATGGCTATAAAGGTTCACAACACCTTCCCCCATATGCCAAAGCCCCACTTGTAATCCACCAGATGAGTCATTGATCTCTCTATCCGGAGCCCTTCTGGCCTCTTTGGACATCAAGGATGCCAATTTCTATGTGCACACCTTCCCAGCACATCATCAACAATTTCTGCATTTTCCTGTGGGTAGGCAACATTACCAGTTTGTTACCCTTTCTATTGGCCTATCCACTGCACCTCTGGTCTTCAACAAGATGCTGACCACTGTTCTTGCTCCACTTTCCTCCCAGTGCATCCTCATATATTGATATCTGGAGAACATATACTGAGGGAACAGTCTGCTCCAACATTATCAGTTAGCCAATGGACTGTGAAATCCATGCTGGAACCATCAAATCACCTAGAGCAGTGGTGGGCAACCTTTTTTTTTTCAACTGAGCCAAATCTCGCCAAAACCACGATTGAAATTTATTTTGAGAGCCACATTTTTAAAACTGAAAATACATAGGATGGTACACTGTTTTTAGTTTCAATAAGTTTTTATAGTAATTCATCCCCCATAGTAATTCATCCCCCATAGTAATTCATACCCCATAGTAATTCATCCCCCATATAGTAATTCATCCCCCATATAGTAATTCATCCCCCATATAGTAATTCATCCCCCATAGTAATTCATCCCCCATAGTAATTCATCCCCCATAAAGTAATTCATCCCCCATAGTAATTCATCCCCCATATAGTAATTCATCCCCCATATAGTAATTCATCCCCCATAGTAATTCATCCCCCCTATAGTAATTCATCCCCCATAGTAATTCATCCCCCATATAGTAATTCATCCCCCATATAGTAATTCATCCCCCATAGTAATTCATTCCCCATATTAAGTCCCCAAGTCCCCCCTGTGTCAATTCACTTACCTTTGCTCCGCGCGTTCCTCTCGCCGTGTTCCCGCGCCGTTCCGGTCTTCAGGGCGGACTGTGAGAGGAGCCTAGCTCCCCTCCCCTCACGCTCGTCACGCTGCCCCGCCTACACACATCCTGACAGCCACATCCGCGGGCCGGATTAAAAGGTCCTGACTTTTGGGGCGGCCGCCCGAGAGGAGGGAGGGGAGCGGGCGCCCGGCACACAGAAGAGCCGCATTAGCGTGTGTAAAGAGCCGCATGTGGCTCGCGAGCTGCAGCTTGCCGACCACTGACCTAGAGTATCTGGCCCTAGATACAACCCTGTCCAAATTTTTCTTTTTATGGACAAAATTCAGTCTCTTTGCTCCCATATTTGCACTCTACAGCCTAGAAACCAACCCTACACTTTTACAGTGGGGTTCTGGGCTTAATAATGTCTTCCTTTGAAACAGTTCAATATGCCCAATTTCTTCCCAGATCATCCCATACACCTGACTAGAAAAACCAGGCTTACCTTGGCATGGTGGGGTCACTAGTCAAGGATATCTGCCTCACAATGATTTGGAAGGTTCTCACAATGGATGCCAGCCTGTTGGGCTGGGGAGGAGTCCCAGATACCCTCTCAGTCTTATGGACTTGGTCGACAGATGGAGTTTGTCTCCTGATAAATATTCTGGAGCTCAGCACTATTTGGGTATTCCTTCAATGCTGTACTTTCAGTTATCAGGGTCATCTGACCAAAATTCAGTCAGAAAAGCCACAGAAAAGAGAAGCTGATCTGATTTTGCCTTGAGCAGGACTTCACTTTCCAAAAATTAGGAGATGGATTTCCTCAGTCATCAATGTCTGGGCTACAGAAAATGTTTTCTTCACCCGAAGGTTTTTCAAGACCTTTGTCGCAGAAGGTAGATATCGGACATGGATTTCCTAGCATCCAGGTTTAACAACAAAATGTAGGTTTGTCTTCAAATTAAGGGATCCTCCAGTCATTGCAGTGGATGCTTCAGTGACTCAGTTGAGCCTGATCTATACCTTACTTCCTCCCAGACTTCTTTCTCACCTGCTCCGCGGGATTGAGATGAAGGCCTTTCCAGTGATTCTTCTTACACTAAACTGACCTACGCAGACATGGGACTTGGACTTTGTTAGACTCCTGGCAAACTCTTTGTGGTTACTTCCAAAATGTCCTGATCTTCTGTCCTTCCTGGCCTTCTTCTCGCTTGCTGTATTGGCCTAACTGTTAAAGCCCATGTCCTGAAGGACAGGGGACTGTTGGATTTAGTTATCCCTATGCTTTTAAAAGCTAGGGAATGGCATTCTCACAAAGTCTACCATTGCACCTAGAAAGCATAGGAAGTTCTCTGAGCGACAAACCCTGTCTTTTCCGCAGACTGGTCTGGATCAATGTTTGGCCTTGAGTACCGTCAAGGGTCAAATCTTGGCCTTAGAGGTATCTTTTCAGAGCCTTTCACGAAGGTGAAGGCCTTTGTACAGGCTGTCACATTATCTTTCCTGTATGTTCCCCAGTGACCCCATGAGATCTGGTTCTGTCAGTTCTTTAGAAACTACCCTTTGAACGTACTAGAGATATTCCTTTGTCTACCTTTACTTGCAAAGTTGCCATCACTTCAGCAAAGCAAGCTGAAATGATTGCTTACCAAAGTGAGCCTAAGCCTGTGAAGGACCTTTTCTTGTGTTACACATAGACAAGCTTGTTCTATGACCCAAGGCTTCTTTTCTTCCCAAGATGATTTCTTCCTTCCTTTCACCTTAACCAGGACATTGTTCTACCATCTCTAGGTCCTACTCCAATTTCTCTTTATTGTCTGGATCTGGTGTGTACTGTTCAACTCTCAGCTGCAGCTCCCTTTCAACAGTCTGACTGTTTGTCATTTCTGAAGGCCCCTGTAGGGGAAACCTGCTTCACGTTCGACTATTTTCCACGTGGATTCACCAACTCATCCTTCATGCCTATGACCACGAGGGCAAGGTTCCACCTTTCCCTGTCAAATGCACTTCACAAGATTAGTTGGTGCTTCTTAGGCTTTTCAATGTTAACCATCTGTTTCCCAGATGTGCTAGGCTACCACCTGGTATTCTGTTCACACATTCATTACATTTTACCAGGTAGATGTTTATGCATCAGCTGATGCCTGCTTTGGTTGTAAGGATCTTCAGGCACCCCTGTAGGCTCCCTGTAGAGCCATCCCTGTTATCCTGTTGGTTCTGTAGACTATTGGCATTTTGTCTTCTGTGTTGACTACACCTCATTTGGATTGCTTTTAGGCATCAGAATGTACTTGTACTGCATCCTGTGCCCCATAATGTGCTTTTGAGAAAATAGGATATTTGATTTACTGCGCAGTATTTCTCTTGGAGTATATTAAGGGACACTAGTCCCTCCCCTCTGTTTTTAAGGTTGATTCCTACTATTGCTTGCTACAAACTGAGGCATGGTAGGAGTGTGAGGGGGTTATTGTGTTGTTTGTACAGCTTACTTCATCCTTTGTTCCTTAATGTACTCTAAGAAAAGGACTTTACAGTAAGTAAAAAAAATGTGTTTTTGTAAGGGCAGCTAATTTATTTTTATTTTTCATTTTTTATAGCTTCACCAAGACTACACCGCTGCACTTCATGAAATCTGCCAGAAGAAAAAATTAAACTTGAAATATGTGGACACGGCCCTTGGTGGACCTTCACATAAGCCTCAGTAAGTTACCATAACAGATGAAAAAAGCACAATAGCAGAAAATATACAGTATGTATGAATAAAAATAATGTACATAATCTGTACATCTGTAATTAAAAGAGGGAATTGCTTCAGAAAAAAGTGTTGCGTCTTTTATAATTATGTGGACCATTATTTTGGTATATAAAGGTTATGCTGCTGCCTTTAGGGCTTGTACAAAGGCAGACAAGAGCTGTAAGGACAGCTCAGTATAACCCCAAAAATTCCTTTGTTAGTTTGCTAGTGTCCTAGGAGAAAGGATGTCTTCTCTCATTTGAAAGAAGTAAATCTCTTATCTTGATCAAACAGTACCGGGTACAGGAATTGATTGTAGACCATCGGTTATATGTCGCTACTTTCAGTTGATTGGACACTGGCAAAAGCTTTGCTGGGAACTGCCCATAGTGTACCCATGTAACCCTGCAGACTCTCTGATGCTCTAATTTTTTGCTAGTGTCCTTAGGTAATGGACCCTTTCTCCTGTTGAAGAAGAATTGTTTTTCATTTTCAAAGGTTTTTCCTTCCTTGACTGACACCTCTTTTTAAATTCTGACTGCTTATCACTTTGGCGCTCACTTACAGTTTCCAAATTTCCAAATTTGTTACCCTCGATGCAAATCTTGGGAACTGTACCAAACCCTGCAGTTGGCCTGTATTGTTTGCTTTCAGGACTGTCATCTATGCCTGCCAGCCACATGTTGCCTAGCGAACTGACTCCTCTTCAGTTCCTAACAGGGCAGACCCTGTGTCAAACATAAAGCCTGTGGTCCAAATCAAGTCCATCAGGTCATTTCATGTGGCCCTTGCACCTCCCCTGCAGCTGCGGCACGCCCCCCTTGTCTCCATCCCCACCTTGTCTCAGCAGTTAGCAGCAGAGAGGAAGACAGAACTCCTCTGCCAGATCCTGCTCTTTTCCATGCAGCCATGTAGAGGCTTGTCTCAACTCCCCCACAGATCCTGTACCTCTCTGTGCCGCATCTCTGTCTTCCATGGTTTCAGCATTCAGCAGACTGACTCCATGCCTCCTCTGCTCATCATCCAGACCCTGCACTTTCTGCTTCCCAGCTCTGCCACCAGCTTCTTGTGATATAAGGGAGGGATGGTGGGAATCTTGACTCTTGACTTTTGAAGATGGGGGTCTCATGATATCTGATGTAAGGGGGTGGGGTGCTTTGGGCATCTAGTCTTACAAATACAACTGGCCCTTTGAGGGCAAGAATCATGCTGATGTGGCACGCAATTAAATTGAATATGACACCCCTGCTCTACAGGATCCTCTTCTACCCAGCAGGGTGGCTATTATCCCCTTTTTTTCTAGCGCTTATTCCCTCAGGGAATGAATCCCTCTTTTCCTACCTGAACCTTTTCTTACAAAAGTATAGGGATCCTTTGGCCTTTTACAGCATCCAGCACAAGTCTGATGACTGGTGTCTTTATTCAACCTTACCAACAAGTCACAGGACCTGTTTTTTCTGCTAATCCATACTCAAGCTACATGGTACTTATACTGTCAACTTTCTGTTGGTGTCTGTTGATCTTGTTTTTTTCCCCTGGGCCAGTTGATGCTGTTTTTTTTTTTTTTACCTGTTTTGTTGCCCGCCCCTGGTCTCTTTGGCTCAAGTGTTGGCCTGGGTAGCTTTAGTATAAGAAATGACTCTTGCGGATGCCCTTTGACAGGGAATGCCTTTTTTGTAAATCCCTGCATCATTTTATCAAGGAGGGGTCACTAAGGGAAAGGTTACACTTAAATGAATTTTTTTCATATGGTTTTACGCTTTGTGGCTTTTCCAACTTTATATTCATGTTATGGTGGAGAACCCTTTGCATACAGATGTGGGAGACCAAGGGTGGAGACCCGGAGGTGTTTTTTTATTTTCACACAGGTGAGTGTGACTCTACTAGGAAAGGGTCCACTAGCTCTGGAAAGAGTCTTCTTACATTATAAAGGTATTATCGGTGTCTGGAGCTGGAGCATCAACTGATTTAAAGAAAACAAGATCTTTTATGATTTCATTCATCACTTGGGACTGTGTTTGCATATTTGGGACTATCACTTTTATTACTTTTGTGTTGGCACTAAGATTTGTATCTTTCAATATTACATGCATGTTATATGTGATTAGTGCGGCATTTTTAAATTTACATTTGTTGCACAATTTATCTGATTGTTATGCCAGCTGCTGTCTGGCTCCTTTAGCGTGATTTCTTTTTATTTATTTTGGCATGTACAGTATATAAGTTGGCATTTTCCCTACAATTGCATGTTGTGAAATAGTATACACTGAGGAACTGCAAGTTTTTTAAAATTTTGTATAAAGCTTACAAACTTCGGATGGAAAGGATTATTTTAAAGTGACACTAAACAATATCCTATCTCTCCAAATATAATTCATTCATGTGCACTGCTTAACGGCCCTGTAGTCTTCTGTTCATTAAATTTGTATGGTATTTTTCTGCCTCCTGTAACTTCCTGTGTGGGCTCCCAAAGCTCTCTTTCTCTTCTCACTTCTGATTGTTTGGAACAAGCAGCGCATGTTAGTTGCAGTCATGTGCACTGCTCTGTGCACACTACAGATCCCATAGTCCTTAGTCCATTCTGGGAGCAAGCAAGAGAGGGTGCTAAATTTCTACATACAGTGGGACCATGGAGAAAGAACGTAGCCACCGTCTAACAAGAAACTGGAGATTTGTAGGAGGTTGAGGGCAATAGAAGTTACTTTCTGAGGTAAGAATGCATACATAATTAATATTTTCTTCTTTTTTTTTTAACCAGAGTTTAGTGTCATTTTAAAGTTGAGCATGATATTATGGGAAAGTAGACACACTTAATTTCCCACTTATACTCAATGCTCCTGGCACCCTCTACCCAACACCTTCCTTCTGACACTCAAAAATGATCATCAGTTTGTCGACTAGATGTGGATGTGCATGACTGGAATCCAAATATGTAAGACAGCCAAATCCTGTTCAGCTAATGTATTGGCGGTAGAGACCAACTTTATAGCCATGACAAGATGGAATTGCCCACTATGTACCCTGTTACTCTACTCAATGTTTTCAAAGATGTGGCCAAGTGGGAACTTTCCTTAATGGTTATGGTGTACCTGTCCTGTAGTGCACCAGTTCTGGAAGGATATCTTTCAAATGGTCTCCAAGCTAGTACTCTCACCTGTTCCCTTTTTAGCCCAACACACCCTTTTGAATCTCAAACCCCCTGGCCATATGCAAACTTGGTTTTTAAACTGATTTTCCATTTCTTAATGGCAGTACAACAAACAATTGCCAAAACTGTGAAGCGAAAACAAACAAAGAGCGCACCAACCTTGCGCATTACCTCAGTAAGCCAAAAATTTATTAATTACAGAATAATACTCACAAACACTGAAGTATATCATGCATGTAAGTCCTCAAAGGGACTAAGGATAAAAGCAGCCTGCGCTCTGATGAAGAAGGTTCGTCCTTCGAAACACGTCAGCTGTTCCCTGAGTGTCCACTCCTCTGATGGGACTTGTGCAGGCTGCTTTTATCCTTAGTCCCTTTGAGGACTTACATGCATGATATACTTCAGTGTTTGTGAGTATTATTCTGTAATTAATACATTTTTGGCTTACTGAGGTAATGTGCAAGGTTGGTGCACTCTTTGTTTTCGCTTCACAGTATTGGTCGGGCTTCCCCAGCCTTGTTTGGAGCTGCACAACCCCATATGCACTGGTGGTAGAAACTTCCAAGTCCTGACTCCATCTACCTACCCCGTGTTGGGCCATAGAGCGCAAGAGAGTTCGTTTTCAAACAATTGCCAAAGCCTGGAAATCCCCCATTTAAATCTAGGATTAATTTAGTCCTTTTACATGATGATAGAAGCCAAACCTAATGACTAAATGGACAAATTCCTCTCTGTGGCATCCATGGACATCTTGATTTTTACCTGTGGGATTCGATCAGGATATCTTTATCTTTTAGGTTAGGGCAGACCCAATGGCAGTCCTGCTTCTTCCCCTAGCGCTTATCCATTATTTCTCTCTTTAAGCTGCAATTTATCTCCTGTTTACCTTCTGACTTACCCATCAAACAGTTATCCTTGCCCACTGGTCTACCATAGTAACATGTTGACAAGTTGATGTCCTTATGTCATTAATTTTTTGGCTTTCTATGCTTTGTAATGCAAAATCTACTCTGAAACCTGTATTGTCTATGTACATTTAAAAGTATAATTCAATACAAATAATTATACTTAAATAAGTTTTAAATCCTCAATAAAGTTTATTGAGGTACATCCAAGAAACATAAATAAGTACAGCCTTTAGGCATGTCAATGAAATGCGTTCAAAAGCATTGATGCATCACAAAGAAAAGAAAATAATACCTGTATATAATTAAATCAACAGCCTGTCCATCACCAAATCAGTAGGCGCAAGGCCTGGAACAGCTAACCAGTCCTGACATAGATTGTTAAATTTTCCTGGGCAGCCTCTGTGCCAAAAAATGATTTTACTCTAATCTGAGTGTAATGCCCACGTACCTAACCGATTCTTTGAGTGGGAGCACAGCACAGTGGCTAAATAGTTAGGACTTCCGCCTGGCAGTACTAAGGTCCTTGGTTCGAATCCCAACCACAGCGCCCCCTGCCTGGAGTTTGCATGTTCTTCCTGTGCCTGCGTGGGTTTCCTCTGGGTACTCTGGTTTCCTCCCAGACACCAAAGACATGCTGGTAGATTAATTGGATCCTGTGTAAATTGGCCCTAGTATGTGCATGTATGAATGTGAGTTAGGGACCTTAGATTGTACGCCCCATGAGGGTTAGGAACTGATGTAAATGTGCAATATATATTTGTAAAGTGCTGCGTAAATTGACAGCGCTATATAAGTACCTGAAATAAATAAATAAATATTACACTTCCTATGTTCGAGGATAAGCCTACGAGCCTGAAACAGGGCCCTATTAACTGCAGCCATTTGGGAGTCAGTTAATGGGAGATCGTCTAGTATACACAGAAAGCAGC